TTAAAGCGGCATAAGACATGTGTATTAAACTTTTTCTCATTAATGTTTATTCTTAGCTCTAGACGGCATATAAAATCTTAAAAGACAGATTTCTTAACGCCATATAAAATCGATGAAACTCTTCCTTTAAGTAGAATATATGAGGTTCAATTCTTGGCCGCGGGTGAGCTCACGGTTTATCCAGAAATTCGTCAAAAGAAAATATATTTAAATATATAATAACTTACTTGGATATTCACCCAATAAATCGGAAATGTTAAGATTTAGGTTTCATTTATTGACACTAAGGTCTATCTTTATTCAATTTGAAGAAATCGTTGCGTTAATTCAAAGAAATAAGTAATTTAAGTAAATGAAGGAGATAACGTGAAATGTCTCATTTGCGCTTTAAGATGCAAATAATGTGACTAGAAATACAGAAGCGCAGATTTCAGAATATGTTAATTGCACGTTCAAGAAGTAAAAAAAAGGAGAAAACTCCGTAACACGTCTGATGGTGTTAGCTGCTTACCCAAAAGAAATGACGAAATGGAGTCCCCAACAAAACTGTACAAAGTCAACTCAGCGCCAAAGACGGGAAGACGCCATTTTGACAACTATTACGGTTAGCTTAGGTCGAATAACCTTGCCAGATCTCATTTGGGATGCTTCAAACCTGTCGTTAGTCTTATCTGCTTATAACTACTCTATCTTGGTTTAGCTTAGTCTTGCACTACCCTTTTGAGCTGGAGAACATATGAGTTCAAAATGAGGAGCCATTTTGATTCCCCACAGAACAGTAATAAATAACCTTAAAATAGTAAAATAACCTTTTTTTATTATAATTGGGAAAAATCTGATTTATGCGCAGTTTGATATAGTTATTGTTACAGAAATCTATACCGGATCGGTGCTTCAACAGAACTTGTGTGCGTTCAGAGATGTCATGTAATTTATTTTAGCTAAGAAGAAGAAAAGGAAGATAAAGAAGGCGACTCTTGCTTTCGCTTCCGCAGAATATTTGCTTCAGCACTAACTATTCTGTCTTTCTAACAAGTCCCACCTTTTGTGTACCTTCGACTGTTTTCTGGTTTGCAATAATATAAAACGACTATCAGAAAAAAGCATGTCTTCACACCTGGCCTTTCTGTATCTATTTGATTACTCGTGTAGGAAGTACGCTTTACATACTCTAGGGATTACCATGGTGTTCTGATCGTTCGTTCGTTCTTTCGTTTGCCAGGCATAGACTCAGGTCCGGAATTGTCTGCAAATTAGCATTAGCAGGCTTTTTGAAAGCGTTAACTACTTAGTTCTTAGTCGACAAAGGCTCACTGATAGGGTACACACCCACCAGACTGCGACCGTTCCCCATTTCCTTCTGACTATCATTGTGTTGCATAGGTAGGGGTCGGTAGGAAAAGAAAGGGAAAGAAGAAGATTGAAAAATGAATCGTATCGACTCATGTTACGTATATATCTAAAGTATATATATACAAGTGTGATCATATGAAAGTCAAGCAGCAAAGTGGAAAAAGCACTTTCTAAGATTTAAGATTTCTTTACGGCGAATGTAATCGAATATATATAGTAATCGTTATATGTCAAGGAATGTTTACTGTTCTGGTTCAAAATTACAATTAGCTTAGCGATTGATATTGAAATTACTGCCATCCAGTGGTCCTAGCTTCAACGTCAATATTAATGTGTTAACAAGTGCTATGAATTTTGACTGCAAAGGGAAGCCATTACGTTCAAATTTTAACAGGTCCTCATTAGCCAATAAATAAGCCGCGTGACGCGTGTCCCAAAATTGATATGCTAAGAAAGAGAACTTGAAGAAAGTATACATGGGGGCCACAGTTCACTACTAAATATACTCCACTACAGTTATCCAAATTATGGACTTTCCGGTCCGAGCCAGTTTTAATATCGTTTGTCCTTGGGTCAAAAAACACGTTAGAATACTAAGTTTCTTCAAAATATCTGAATACGGATAGATAAGCTTAGACTGATCCAAAAAATTATTGAGAAAGTGATTCTGAATCGAACGATATAACAAACGATGGATCCAGTGAATTATTCCGATGTAGAACATATTAGTAATTGTCGTATATAAAGAATACGTCGACATAATTGTTACAGAACAAAACTTCACCTTAACGCAGGACTACCAATCATAATAAACTTTCTGTTGGCGGTTACTTAACGAACTGTGAATTTTAACGACGTATAAATTAGATTACATTTAGAACACACCAAAATCATTCATCAACATTGTATTGATAAAAGTATTCCTTCTATATGCTCCATCTGTGATAAAAATGATGGTTCGCCGTTGATTAAATTATACTCTGGGGTATAATCTGGCGCTGTGACCCGTCAGTTGTTATAAGAGGAAATAGTGTATTATCTTTTTTTAGTTATAGGAGGAATAGTCACCTCCGCAAGTTGAGAACAACTACAGAGGCCATTGTCCCCCAATGGAGACCTGACATATTACCTGATGCAAAGATGATATTTAAATAAGTGAAAAAGGTAAATTTAGAAAAATTAATAATATTATCTAAGGAACGAAAGTAAATTAATTTCTAAATCGAACAACCAGTGTACTAGGCCTTTGCAATCTTCTTATCTTTATGGATTCATTCAAACGAGGGATTTACCTGATTTTTTACGAATGGAAAATCCCGGTCATCATGAATGAATGTTGTATTGCTAACGAAGGTGGAGAATCGTAATTATAAGTGATTTATTAAAATAAATAATTGAAATAAATAAAAATCAATTCGAAAATTATGTAACATTAAGTCCAAATAATTATTTATTTATTTGCATTTACACAGGCGCTTCAGCTACACTAAAATACCAGTCGAATAGATTAGACTCTTAAAAATAAATCTTAACCTAAATACTGAGGCTGACTTTTATAGAGAGTAAAAGCAAATAAGAAAATGATATTCAGCCGTGACGGAACCTTTTATACCGATCATCGCGATCCTAGAAGAAAGAACCAGAACTACATTTTCATACTATATAATATTGGGTGGGCGCGGCTGATTATTTCTGATGTTAGATTAAATGTCGAAATTTATTAGGTGGTTGCGTTGATTTTGGCTGAAAAAAGCATTTATTGAGAAAAATTCCTTGTAAACGTCTAAAAGCTGTTGATTTATAGAATGTAATTGGCATTTAAGTCGTCATTGTGTTTGTGCTTTTTTGGTCCTCCAGGCTGTTCTTTGTCATTGACACCACAATGACCACTTTTAAACTGTTGGAGCAAAAAACCGCAAATCGCGATGTGACGAAATAGCATCGCCATAAGTTTCTAAAAGTGTTTTCAAACTCTTTCCCATATTTGTATTCTTTTTTGCGAAGAGAAGAATGTGTAAGTTAGACGGATGGACAAGTGGATGGGAGAGTTTTGCAATAGGGTCTACACAGACCGATAGAGGGCCAGAAGAACAGACGAACGTGCTTAAATGGATTCAGAATTTGATGTTGATCAAGAGTATACACATTTTGCGGGGTCTGTCAAGCTTCTTTCTGACTGCTGCAAGCGTCAAACGATATGCCCATCCTACTGCGGTAGTGGGCATAAAAATGTATAGCGGCAAAGTGACAGCCAATATAGATTCTAGATAGGACTGGACCACTAAGCCGAATCAAACGAACAAAAGCTTGGCAAACGAAAATAGTGAACATAATTAGTTTAATCGTAGAGAAGAGACAGTTGATTTGATATTATTGAAAGAATCCGGTATTGAGATAAAATTGTAGATGTCATTTAGTGTGATGCACAGCACGTTGAACGGACTGAAGAGGTTATAATTACCCCTGCACTGACTAAGTTTTATGAAAATGAAATTTCTAGAAGAACGTGCAAGGAGTCTGAGGTTAATCTCCTCTAATAAGATAGAGAAGTCAATGGCGCAATTTATTAACTTAACAAGAAGTGAAACATACAGGATGAAAACCTATAGCTATCTATTTTCGTCAGGTAGCAATGAAACGAAAGGATTTCATACTGAATTCCTAAGGGCACAAAGCAAGGATTACTTTTGAACAAGTTCATTTTCAAGTATTGGTCTCACCAAGCCCATGTGAAGACGACGAAAAAATAAAAGAAATCGTTTTATAAAAATGTGATTAAACAACAATTTATTAATTTAATTTATACCTGTGTGATTTCATCGAATTTTCCTTTAAAGTGCTAGAAGGGGGACGGTTTAAAAATAGAGATTTGTTTTAATGTTTAGCAAATTATTTATGTTTTTTCAAAAAGTTTGGACAGTGTATTTTATGTATCTCATAATTACATTTAGAAAGTGTAAGCTTTTTTTCTTAGGCAGCGTATAAGAAGAGCTACTTATTAATAGATTTATTTCAAGTTTTTTTGTTTTTTAATTTAAAAAATTTTTCAAAATCTTTTTTTTCAATATCATTATTTGGTTCATTACACTGACAATAAAAAAAATAATTTTAATTATATCGTTACAAATTTTATAGTGGAAATTTTCTGTCAGTCGCACAAACACATACATAATCGCTTATTCATAAATTGTATTGCGCATAATCGTTTTTCAGTGCATTGCTAATAGGTGTGATGTTTTGTTTGCAGCAGCTCTTTATAGTTTGCTTTAGCTTCTAATTGTGTTATGGAATTTTGCATACGCAGGCCACTCATACCCCGCGTATACACACATTAGCAATTCTACACACTTCCGTTGGAGAGTATCGAATTTTGAAACTTATCCGTTACTATTCTAAAGGCCGTAATCATTATCGTCAACGAAGGCTACCATAAAGTATATAAAGCACATATATCTACGAATTTGCTTACGGCATTCGTTTCCTTTAAAAATATTACGGCTTTTTGCGATTCGTTGATTTGCGATTAAAACACATGTGTGCTAGATTGTGTATGTAAGCGAATGTGCGTAACGTCTACATGATTTTGTGCCTCGTGTGGTTAATTCGTTTCACTAGTTTGCATATAAATCCATGATGTCCTTTCTGTTTTGCTCCATTGTTGACTTAGATTTAAAAGCTGCAACAAGTGGACTCGAACTTCAGCTCTTTAAATTTAATAAAAAGTGAAAAGTTTACGAACATTTCAATTTATTATTGAATAATACTTTTCTGTACTGAAAGTAATACAAAATCTCTCATTAAGAAGAAAATATATTGTGCTAGAAAACGGTTAACAAAAGAGATTTCTTTTTTTTTTAAGATAAAGGTGAGTTATCAAGCTTAAGCAGAAATATAGGCAAATATTTCAAAAAAATTGATCGCTTTTCCGTTTACGCAAATCGTCTTTAGCGCTCCGGATAAAGTAAGACAAATGAAAAATAACTAAACTAAAAGTTAAATCAAGTTAACAAAGAAAAGATAAAAAAAGGAAACTAAAAACTACATTCGACTTGAAAGCCTTTTTTTTTAACTGTGAGCATGTTTCGGGAGCAATCTTTAAATTTTTTTTACGGCTTGCTTTCATAATCCTTTGCCTTGTAACCCGTAAGGGATAATTCTTTGTAATTGTATTCTAGTTTTTTTCGGTTTTTTTTTTAGCATAAACTATTTTGAGTTTGAGGCCGGACTAAGTCCGTTTTCAGAGCTTCTCTGTAAAGCGGTATGAAAAGTACGCAATCAAAGTTCCGATTTCTTTTGAAGTTTAAAAATTTCTCTTAACCTTTATACGGCCTTAAACTCTGTAGGAATCTCTCTTGCGCAATTATATGTTTTTTTAGCAGTGGTTACACTGAAGCCCATCATCGAATCTTTTTTAGAACCGTCCGTGAAAATCTATTGTAGAACCTTGAAGGTGTACTCTTTTTCGCTAATTCTCTAACGAAAAGCTATACAAGGCGCTGAGGTTTTAGCGCCGATCTCTAAAATGTTATCCGTGTAAAGGAAAATAAGATGTAGAAATTAAGCGACATCTAGTGAAAAGCAAATTGTAATAGGGTTATGAGAAAAAAAGAGGGGAGAGGAGAGGACTTTTTGGATTGTATCGGCTTTCGGGTAGTTTGCGGACTATGCTATACTGATTCACAACTATAGAGTAGATATCTCAAAAGTTTTTTCTTAGGACGCTGCCCTGTGTTTCCTTGAAAACGTTTGCTACTGTGAAAGTATTGAATCGAGCGTACAAAGCTCTGTTGTGAGAAATATCGTTATACGAAAACAATTAAGAACCTTATTGTCCACCTTATTGACAAGACCGATCTGATAGCTTCCTTTAACAAGCAGTAAATTATTTATTTATCATAACAGCACGGAATACTGCAAACAATAAATGGAGAGTAGACTTGCAAATTGTTCTTAACTTAATTCATAGAGATTTGGAGGAAGTCACGTAAAAGGAATGCTGGTATTGAATTTTCCTGGATATAGTGGATTTTAGTATCGATTTCGGATTTTAGAAATAGAAAGACATTAAACAACATTTTCACGATGGAATAGGAATGGTATTGGAGATATTAATACGACCGGATTAACGGTATTTTAAATCAAGTACTGTGCTGAGAATTTCAAGGCTAAGGCTTTTGCCTAAAAAGATATTACCATCATAACTGTGTTTTTGACAATAATATGCGTGTTTACATGTGTTGAGAAGAGAGAGTTCCGCTCGAATATTCACCTCGAATGCAAATACTGTGGAGAATACTTGCAAGATTGGGGATCCTTGGGCAATTGTTTGTACACATAAGTTCTAATGTCTCGATGTGATTTAGTGTAACATATATTTCGATGATGGAAAGAAAAATTTATTTAACATTATACAATTTCAATAAAAATGTACCCATTTGGACTCGTTCGTTGCAATTTCTTAACAAACAAAGTCTAATAAAAATGCAAGCCATGTTATAAATATGGCCAACTTTCATCATTCATTTCTGAAACAAACATCCATGAGAATAATAGAAGGGCGACAACAAGAAACGGATCATGTGTAAGCTAGTTATGTAAAGCTTTTATTCTTACAAAAGAGAAGATTGAAATAGGTAACGCAACATGCGCACATGAACAGCATATAGATACAATTGCTAGCATCGCTTTAGTATATTTCGAAATATAAACTTCACGAAAGTTATAATGTAAGCGATAATACACGGCGTTAAATTTTATAAAGAATACACGTGCTTATCCTATATGGGCGGACAAAACGTAGTTGCCGACCGAGCAGATCTTTCAGATCGTCTTAGTTCGGCCCGTGGTTTGCAATGGGATACCCCGAAGTTGGATCCGACGACCCATCACGATCATGCGCCTTAGTTTTTGTCTAGTAACCCTGTTTCTTTCTTTTGTCTTTGTAACGCGGCCATTCCTTTATCGGGCGTGACCTATAACACGTATAACACTATGATAGTCAAAAGCAAGTGTGGAAAAATAAGCAGATAGAGAGTGGCTGCAGCCTAATGGGGAAGTGCCCAATCGATACGTATTGTTTCTTTACCGGAAATCAGTGTACGTACCTTTAAATGAAAAACTTCCCTCCACGGTTGGCATTTCGATGGATTTTGATTCATTATTGCTAATAAATCTGTTATAGGCTTGGTAAATTATTATAGGAATTTATTTAACTATTTTAAAGACTTTACACCTAAAATGTCGATTGCGTTTATGTGCAGACCAAGTTCTGTTTGGAAAAGGAATTCGAGTAACTAATTGAATCGATCGACTGACTATAATACGATTGATTTGCATTCTTGAAGTAGGGCTCCACTCTATCTTTACTAATCCAAAATTTGTCGATAACAGTTTCTTTATCCACGGAAAATTGTTCAAAATACATATGCGATTTATTAACAGCTTTGAGACGAGTGTAACCGAAATCCTGAAAAGAAAGACATTAAATATCCATTAGTGTCAAATATGATGTAGTGTAAAAACATACTCAATATTGGCCAAATGAACAAAACTTAACACTAAAATCGAATCCTGAATCTTATATAATTTGATTATAAACTTGCTCTCTATCTGTCTTTCGGTTGGGGAAATTCTTCAGATCAAAAACGGAATTTAAGGATAAAATCTCCTGTACTCATATAAGTACCTTCTGAGTAGATTTCTTTTAAAAATTAAGAACAACATTTTCTAAATCCATAGCATAAATCATCTATAGAATTAATATTTAAAACATGGACAAGTGAGAAGAAGGTAAATACGGTCAACTCGTAATTCCATTAAATATGATTTCAAAGTAGCCCTCGGCTTTTATACAAACTTTTTGAAAATTTTCGGAAAATCGTAGTATAAATATATTATATTATATTGGAAATGTGGATAATGAATAAAAATGCGCAGCAGAGACATTTTAAAGAATCTGTCGGATGTTTGTTTAGTGGGATAAAAACTCACTTGTTTTTAAATATTTTTTATACTTCTTGTCAGGTCAAATTCAAAACTCGGATTATCGATGCTACTGTTGTATGTCTTCAAACACTTTGAGTAAGAAATTGAAATTTGCACTCCATCTCTTTATATTTATGGAATGGGTGTTTGCTAGATTTTTGATACCATTCTAGAAATAGGCGTCAAAAATCTTTTACGGAATACACCTTCTGCGTGAACGCAAAATTCTAGATCTATTCAACCGCATTCACTTATTTCCCGCCAGAAGATCCTTCGTTTATGGGTTTTCGCTCCTTTTCAATAGTCAAATGTAGACACTAAACGGTCTCTAGCTACGTAAATATTCGTCCATTTTATTTTTGTCATTCGGCATGAATTAATTGGGGATATCACGAAATTCGGTCTAGATTGAGTATAGTTTTCCTCTTGTGTAATTGCTATTGAAGTCATTTAACGTACTGGAACGAAATTATTGTGAACATACGATACCTGACTACGAAAAGCACTCCATTCTGGCAAATCTCCAGAGAAAGAGTCTTGGCTTTCAATGTTCCCCGCAGCACCGGTAATAATATGCACTGGAGCTCTTGGATTGCGATACGGTTCAGTTAAGGAACCATTTAACACTGTGTAATTATATAGGGGCCAAGAACGTTCGTACGAGTGTTCATGTGACCATATTTCAACATCAACGCCGTAATTATAGAAAAGTTCCTCCAAGCCTAATAAATCTTTATTAGGATCGCCTGTACGTATTACGTTTTCCTTTATTGAGCATTCATTGATATTATCGTTGCTACAATACATCGGTCGATGACCGTACGTTATAAGCCAGGGACGGTTTTCCCGATTTTCGGGTCTGTTCGATTCCCTTAATTCATTTTCGAGCCAACTGTATTGATTGCAATATGGTTCATAGCCGAATTGCAAGTAAAAATAGACTTCGGTTGAAAACGCCACAAAGTGTACGGGACCTAAATTAAAGCTATAATAAAGACCTTCCGATTCGCCCGGCATAGCGAACCGTTTACGATAATGCGAAAAGTTACTGAAATTATGAAAATAATAACTAAATGAAACATTTTAGGAGACATTTCAAAGCGCCTTCTTACTAAGCTGCCTCGTGATTTCCAACTGACACCATATATGGCACATATGCGGCTATATTTTCAATTTGTTTCATAAATAAATCGCCTCTTTCGCCATCTTCGCTTTCGAGATTATAAGCGAAATCACCGTTATGGATGACGGCGTTGTACATACGATTTTGAACATCGTCGCTTAAATATGGCAGGGAATATGCATAAGTAAGACCCATGTCACCGTAAATTGCCAACGAAGGAGACCAGTTTTCATTTTTTTGTGGGACGCAAAACCAATATTTCCGTGACCAGCCTAAATCGCTACCGCAATAATATTTATAGCAAGTGTTTTCTTTAAGATTTTTCAGCGTCACCTATCAATAAAGAATACGTGATATAGAATAAATCGCCAAATTTTATATTTATTAATACCCTATGTATATATTTTATGAAGAGTCGTGGACTTTCAGTATTCACTTTTGTAGATTCCACAGCGTTTCTACCGTACTTGCATATGGATGCATTCGTCCTTTGATTTGTCGTCCATGTCACGACTAGATCGCGCACGGTTTCTTTCAAAACACATTGTCGGTTATGAGTTCTTTAATTTTTTTAACTTCTCAAATGCTTACCTCCGAACGACAGATGCATTTGCTCCGGTTGGTATTCATACAAACTCGCGCCAACAAAACTAACTTTCTTAGCGGATAATAGAAACAGTAAGTGTATTTCAAATAACAAATTCATTTTTTCTTTTCTAAAAGCTAAACACCATCTAAATGTATTCAAAGCAAATGCTTCACTTTTTATATTGATTGGATCGAATTAACAGAATAATTCGTTGCATAGTTTGTTATTATATCCTACACCATTCGTGGTACAAGGGTATATTAAGTTTGTGCGAATGTACGCAATACTGAGAAGAACTTGAGATAGACCCATTTTTTATTACATAGCTCAATTCAAGATCACTTTCTGAATCGATCTAAACTTGTCTGCTCATTTGTCCGCCTACCCGTCTTCTATTCTTGTGTTCCACCTACAGGTGGCGATTTTTGAGATATTTTCATCAAGTTTGGTACATCGGTGTGCTTTGGTCCAAGGGCCGAAGTATAAAGTTTTATACTGAAAAGTCTCTCTATGAATAACTGTACAGAACGAAGTGGTGTAGTGTATTGAATGGAGGGTCGTATTCAGCTATCGTGGCTTTTCTAGTTTATTAAGTTATATTTCAGCGAATGCTAGCGCATCCATGCATGACACGTTGTTATGTTAGCAAGGCAGGCAGATAGGCCGACTTTCTGGGAATTCACGCTGATCTCGCTGGCACTATCAACTACTTCAAATCAGTTTCCCCATTGGCCACTCTAACATAAACATAATAATTAAGCTCACAAGGATTCAAAGATAGAGATGGACACTACAAACTTGTCAAATGAACAACGCTTCGGCATATCTAATGTAATTGATTGGGAAAAAATTTTAAAATTTTAATTAATTTGTATATTTATAACAAAGAAAACGGGAGAGGTAGTAAACCAAGTTTTACTTTAAGCTTGTTTCGAAAGACTCATTCGATCGACCACAGTCGCCGAAAAGAAGTTGGCACGGCAGGTAATTAAGATTCGTCACAATATGTATACATTTCTTTCTTCGCTTTATAACAGATTTTTAATCGCTTGATACAAAACCATCTGCAAAAAAAAACAGCAAACATTAGATGAAAAAATAGTAAGAGTGGAAATTTGATAAGTTATTGGCAACAAACTAATGAAAATTAATTGCTATTTAACTTAAAACTCTCTAAACAACTAAGTAAACGACGTTTTGCACATTTGTCTACAGCAGCACCGTTATAAAGTGCAGTCTGGTTTGGCTGCAACACTGTGCAAAAAGATTTATATCCACCTTAAGAAGAATCGCTAATAGCCATCGCCTTGCGCGAATAGACAAAAGTTGCAAAGTACGCTCTTTGCAACTGACTCCTTGGCAACTTCTTCCACTGATAATGCAAATCAATATTTTTTATCAAATTTCAGTGAATTAGATATGCTGGATGATAGTATAGTTTCCATGTTCAAATATTTTTATATCCATCAACGAAGGATGAGGGGTCCACTCATTTTGTCAAAACGTTTGCAACGCGCACAAGGAAGCTCTCCCCACAAAGTATATACACTCTTGATTAGTATCAAATTTTGAATCGATTTAAGCATGTCCATCTGTCCTTTTTGCCGTCTGTCCGTCTGCCCAACTGCGTAGTATGTATGGTAAACTTTCTCCGTTTGGCCAAATATGAAGATATTGCGCACAAATTTGAGGAATAATTTGAAAATGATCCAAATCGCTCAAAGGACTCGCCTATTCAGAGAGGCTAAGCAAACCTTTGCATTCCGTGTTTTTTACTAGTTACTCATAAACTGCCTCAGATATGCAATATAAATTTCTAATTTTATTCTAAAAAAAGAAAAAATTATCTACGCCCAGAAGTAACAATTACTTAGCCACATTTTAATAGTATAATTAGTAAAACAACAATACGATTACTGAACCGAATCTCGCATGCCGGCCACTATGTTTTTCGCATTCTAGTCTCCAAACTCTTTTATTTGATACCCATATCGTTGGTATTATTGTGAAAAAATTAATCTCGTTGTCTACCAATTTCTTTTTAAAATGGACCCATTTCTAGGCAGATAATATACCTTCATTTAAGGAGTGTACAAAATACTTTTCGATCTTGTTTGCTTTATGAAAAATAAGCACAAAACCTCAAAAAAGTGAGAAAAACAATATTTAATCACTTGTAACTTTGCGTGGGCATGGCCGATTGTTTCCATTTTTCGTAAGGCAAATGTGGAACGTTTCAGCTTTCTAACTTTAACAATTTCCGAGTAACGAACAAAAATCCAAAAATTTTTATTAAAAAAGAACGAAGTTGCGTCCACTGTGCGCTTCTGCTCTGACCGATTTGGATCATTTTCAAAACCAATCTGCGTGCAAAAACTTCGTCTTCAAATGCGTCTACCAAATTTGAAGTCGACATTTTCAATTTTGCGATCAGGAGAGTGCGAAGAACACGCACCACACAGATGTATATACTTTGTAGGGTCTCTGGAGCTTCCTTTGTGGATGTTACATACATTATGGGGAAAAAAAATGAGTACACCCCCATCTTACAGTGGTGGGTATAAAAAACATAAATGTTTGAAAAAACTCAGTAAATATTAGTTTGGGGAAAAAGAAATCCATTATTTTTTCGGTGGATGGCTGCACTGATAGATTTCTCGTAAAGTATCGATCAAACAATTTCAGATTTATGCTCGTTGGAAAGGTGACATTTCGCAGTGAAAAAAATTCTCCTGCTGTATTTTGTTTGGTGCATTCAGTTGTGAGTTACAGCGTGTTAAAAATGGAAGTGAACAAAGAGAAAATTCGGTACATTTTACAGTTTTTCTTTGACAAAGGCGAAAATGCAAGCCAGGCGGCTAAAATTGTGAATGGAAATTGTTTATGGTTCCGATACTGTAACAGCCAATTATGTGCAATTTTGGTTTCGTAGATTCCGTTCAGGAATTTTTGATGTTAAAGATGCACCTCGCACAGGTAGGCTGATCGTCGAAAATGTCGATAAAATCGGAGAAATGATCGAAGTTGACCGGCATGTTAGCAGTCGTAACATCGCCCAGGAGCTAAAAATCGACCATAAAACAGTTTTAAACCATTTACACAAAGCTGGATTCAAAAAGAAGCTCGATGTTTGGGTGCCACACCAATTAACAGAAAAAAACATGATGGATCGAATTTCCATCTGCGAAGCCTTGGCCAAACGGAATGAGATAGACCCATTTCTTAAACGGATGGTGATTGGAGATGAAAAATGGATCACATACGATAACCCTGTGCGAAAACGATCGTGGTCAAAGAGCGGTGAAGCACCTCAAACGGCCAGGAAGGTTTTGCTATGCATTTGGTGGGACTGGAAGGGGATTATTTATTATGAGTTGCTTCCATATGGCCAAACACTAAATTCTGATCTCTACTGTCAACAACTGGACCGTTTGAAGGTAGCGATTGACCAGAAACGGCCAGAATTGACCAACAGGAGAGGTGTCGTGTTCCACCAGGACAACGCTAGGCCACACACATTTACATGACTCGCCAGAAACTTCGGGAGCTTGGTTGGGAAGTTTTAATGCATCCGCCATACAGTCCGGACTTGGCACCAACCGATTATCATCTTTTTCTTGCATTGTAAAATTTCTTTAATGATAAGAAATTGGAATCTAGGGAGGATTGTGAAAATCGACTACTAGAGTTTTTTGCAAATACAGACCAGGACTTTTATGAGAGAGGCATTTTGAAGTTTCCTTTAAAATGGCAACAAATCGTACAACAAAACGGTGCACATTTGACCCAAATCGGACAATCCGAAGCATGTTAAATAAAGTCCTCAAGTTCATATAAAAATAATCGATTTCTTTTTCCCCAAACTAATAATACAATTATGAGTTTTTTTTTTTGCTTATCAAAACTTGGCGAAAATGAACATTCGTACGTTACCACCAAAAAACCACATGAAACAAACAGAGTATTATGCGATAAATAGGATGCATAGACAGACTGCATAGACTTATATTTATATGTTACGCTAATTGTGGCTATAAAGGATATTCTCTCCTCAAGCCGTTTATAATTGCCTTCTCTTATTTCCTCTCTTTTTTTCTGAGAAAGCGAGTTTCTGTGTCTTGTAATGTGGTACGATATGCTAGTTATTCGAGACTATATACATATCGATGTCGTTTTATGCATTAATTAGCCTATCTATCATCTTCATTACTAAAACTTTCGATAACTTTTAATTAAAAAATTAAAATTTTTCTGAATATAAACGCATTCTTATCCCTACTTGTCCTTCTATTTTAATCTTCTTTTACCGAACCTATAGAAATAGCTGCAACATTTACTTTATAAACTTTTTCTAGTTATGTTAAAAGAGAAAAATTGTGTTGAATTAGTGAATAAAAGAAAGAAAAGGTCTATTTACTTTACACATGTATGCCGAGCATATATCTTGTCGATATTACACTCTGTGCATGAAAAGATGTATGAAAGAAATGAAAAGCTATCTAACGATGAATCTATAGACATGTAATGCATGTGTTTGCAGTCCTGTATACAGATTGTTTTTGACCCCGATATATTGATATTGACCTTTCTCCAAATAGCTTTCAATAATAGACAGGACATTTGCTAATTGAAATGCGTCTGGGTAGAACGTTGAAGATGGTAAATTTCGTTTGTAAGCACCAAGAACAGCAATACTCAAGTGCACTAGTTCCCACTTCATTGCCATTGTTTTGCAGCCAATTTTGCAACGAAAGTCGTAGTACATCTTAAATTCGAAGGGATCATATGTTCTGAGTTGTCTTACTATATATTGGAAAATGCGGCAGAGTGAGAATAAAACAATGGGTATGGAAGCTCATATGTACCTTGTAAGTGTGGAATACAACAACTTAAAGTAGCGCAACAGAAATCTGAAATATGAAGCATGTTAAAGGTGACTGTACGTGATTGTAGGTCGATTAGAATCTTTTTTGCATCGTTTTCTTGGCAGGCAAATGTTTGGAAATGCCATTCAATATTTCTTATGGGCTATACGCCACCTACTGTGTTATGTTGTACGCGGCGTTTTATGCAGATCATTTTGATGCCTGCATTGAAACATTGAGTGCTCATGATAAATATCTACTACAAGCGTTAGATTAACATATATCTCAATAACTTACAGTTTTTGCTTAATTTGGAGCCAATTATTTGAAAGTGAACCTGCAAAAACCAACTAAGGAAGACGAGAGACATAAAGCTATACAGAGACATGCTCAAGTAGATAGATAGACGCAAAATTCCGCCCTGGTCAAGATGGTGTATACCTGCTGGAGTATCGAAAACGTGGTCTAAAATTGCCATACTTCGTTGGTAGGCATAAAAGCAAAGTGAAAAGGACATGTTATCTCCTTTTTTCTCCTGATATTCAAAATTTTCTTTTCTTTTATACATGCCACCGACACATGGCGGAAAGCTTCAGAGACACCGCAAAGTGCATGTCTTCTTGATCGCTATCAAAAATTGGATCGATTTAAGCATGTTTGTATGTCCGTGTGTCTAATAAAAACATCGGAAGTTTCTGCATTGAATTGAACGACGCGCCACAAGTAAGCTTCATAAACCCCATAACCCGGCCCTTTCGTCTTCTTATCCGTCTATCTGCTCGTCTGTGCAATGCAACCGAAACTGAACTTGTAAACTAAACGATCGGAATGTCATAAAGATTTGATACGTATCCTTTCAATGTTGGTGCTATACAGGAAGTTTATGGGTCTATCAACACTTTTGCTTAGCGTTGAGTTATATAAAACTACTTAGCTGTCCCTGCGACTTTAAATGGTTGAATCTGAAAACTATTAGACAATTATATATATTTTTCGTGCATTTCTGTTTCTCCACTTCATGGCATTTATAATACAAATACAAAAAACATTTTGCGAAGATTATATTCATCGGCGAATTTTAAACCATTAAATTTTAGAACAATTTTATAAACAATTAATAATTAATTCAGTATAACGCACGTTGGCTACATCGTTCGATTAAAGGAAAAACACATAAGAAAGTGTTCATGGGCATAACAACACAGATATATATCTTTTAAATTGAAAATCTGCTAGCAATTGAATCAATTGTGCAGTCTTTTCCATTACAAGCGAGAGGTTTTCAAGTGGAACTTCTAGAAAAGGAAAGAGAGGATATATTGAGGTAAACCAAACTGTCAAGTTATGCAGCAACGGGTATTATAAAGTGACCGCTTGCGATTGTCACAAGCAATTTGAAAAAAGTGAAAAGTTGTATTCGTCTCACAACGAATCTTGAGTGCTCATCTCTTGACATAAGGAGGTCAAACTCATATTCTTTTTTTTAATCATAGTGGACCGTGGTAACAATTTTTGCCTTACTCGGCTCGATGCTCTCTGAATATTGTGCATTTTTGGCGCAAACATGCCTCTGGACGGCTTTAAAGGCGAACGGCAATTGCTTTACGGCGTTAAACATATAATCAGTAGAATAACGTCATACTTGTGCTCTTGGTGTTTTTAACGCCAGGCAGGATTCTACCACATTGATTTCAAGTGTTATTAACGGAATGAGGAAGTTAATGTGATTATGACTTTTGAGCACTATTGTCCAGGCCATATTTTTGAATACCACAAATGGATAGAAAACATGAACATGCTTCACCTTCTGCTTGTGATATGTATATAATGCATCACATCAATGGTTGAGCGAGAACGAATGCGAATGAGTAGAGTTTATTGCTCTAGTTGATGACTTTTATATGTATATATATATAAAGAGTGTTAAGCGAACAATAATCAAAGGTTTTCAATTTAAACGAATTTAAACTTGTTATCTCAAGTTGTGATGTTTAATGGAAAAACGCAAACATGTGCTAGTAAACACAGGCTAAAGGGAAAAAAATTTATAGTAAAAAAAAAGAAGAGGAGAAGCGTAAAAATGTGTAACGACAATAAGTGGCGACTTTAAGTGTGAGATAAGGGTTGCATTGAATAAAAATTGAAAAAAAAAAACTAACTACTAAACTAAACTAAAACTAACTACTAAAGAAAGTATTTAAGTGGATATGATGGATAAGTTCGTTTAAAGACGTAGATATAAGCGAGACCAGAAGTAAATTATGAATTGAAATAGTTGACAACAAGTATGTGCTTAGTAGTTCAAACAGACTCTGGTCAATTGTAAGTAAAAACTGACATTTGAAACCATTGTCCCTCTAAACACATTGAAATTTCCACTCATTCCTCTATCTTTTATAGCGTAAATATTACTTATTTATAATCTATAAAAATTTCTATTCATTCGCTTTTCAAGTGCTTCAATTACTGCAGTGATTTCAATCGGGCTTTCTTTGAGGTATGCAATTACTTCCAAATCTCCTGCTGATAATAAGTATACGCATGAAGAATGTATACATCCCTCCTGGGTGGTGGCTATTAAACATACATTTTTCATATATTCCACACACCTTGTCAAACATTCAAATACCCTAAGAGCTGGCTTTTACCAGGCATTTCACCAAAGTCGAGCATTTGCTCATCATGCAAATCAAAGTTTTGCTCGATGACTGAAGCGAATGTGCCAAAATTGCCAGTGGAACTCTACCTTTCTGAACGAGCTTTTAAACTTGTATTCGGGCATTACGGGCAAAAAAATTGATTAATCATATTTTTAACATGTTCTGACTACTCGCCGTCACTTCTTGTCTGCTGTGTTCATATCGGATCACTCTTTCGACCGCTTCGCATGTAACGTTTTAGTTTGAAAAGTCGTTATATGAATAGCTGTAGGGTGATATGAGGTGCTTTCGTGCGGGCCCTAATCCACTGTGGTGCTTTTACTTGTTTAAGTATTACATTATCGTAGCGTGTTGATTTTTTTCATCATCCCTACAAAACAACTCTTGTCAACAAAAGTTTTCCTGCACACAATATATGCAAAAAAAAATTTTTGGTGAATACAATGCGACGTAATCGTGTATTCTATTCTTAAAATCGCATCGCACAGCGCAGTATAATGTGAAATAGCATTAGTTACTCCCTAATATTTTAGTTATATCAGTAGAAATGGCTGGAATTCAGCCGCGATAAGATAAGTTGTTTGCATTACATAACTATATTTTATATAGATGTTATTTATTTATTTTTTATTTTTTTTTTATTTATTTTTTATCTTACCCATTTATACATGAAACTTAACTAAAAAAAATTACGGTCGAATGCAGTGCATCTTAATAGTAAATCTTATACTAATTGTTTTAAAATTGGTAAAGGAAGAAAAAACAACAATAATAATAACAAAGTAAAAATAATAATTCGTGTATAAATAAATAAAAAGAGAGAGAAAAAAAAAAACCATGTACACAGCTAGCACAGAAGCACATCTGCACAAAGAGCAGATCTAGATTGCAAGTGAACCCCTACGCATAACATGCATAAGCTTGGCAATCAACGCGTTAACAACACAATATTATTTTAATTAAAAAAATGAGATATTAAGAATGAAATGTTAGTTTAAGTGCGACATACGTAAACCGCGCATATTAAGTAAAGTTGTCTTAATAGACTTTAAAGAATCTGATAATGAGAATAAGTGATAGACATGATTTAGGTTTCTGCAAACAATCCTAAGCGGGTTAAACAGTTCATAATTATATCTACATTGACTAAGCTTAATTAAGATAAAGCGCTTAGAGGAGCGGTAAGGGACATTAAAGCTTATCTCACGAAGTAATGCGGGCGAGTCAACAGTACCATTTATTACTTTGATAAAGAAGGAAACCTCAAGAACAAATCTACGTTTCTCAAGTGACGTTAAGGATAATATTTCCATAGGAGGAAGAGAGGCAATCGGGTTCCAACCCAAATTCCTAAGAGCAATTACATTATGGTACACAATATCCAATCATTTACTGCTTATTCAAAATGAAAGTCTGACTTTTTCAAATATTTCTCACAAAATACTTCTTTATTACTTGTTTCTCCTATGAAAATTTAATTTAGGAAACTCATTCAACTTTTTTTTAATAATTTCAGATTTGGTTTTATTCCAAGTGGAGCCTGAGGTGTGCCTGAAAAAGAAAATGACACAAAAAAAATTTTTTAGCTGCGTTTTTGTTTTGTCAACATTATGCCTGGTAAACATTTCACAAACGGAAAGCGCACCTATGCCCAGGTAGTTGTAACTTTTCTAAAAGGAAAAACATCCAATTTAATATTATACTCTATAATTATCATCTACTAAGAGTAGAATTTTTCGCGCTCCGTAACTTCGCACTATCGTGTCTTTGATTAAAGTTGACCACTTTCACAATAGTATTTCTTTTCCTAATAGAATGAAGTGGAAACAATAGAGAAAACTTCTACCCATCGTCGATAAAGAATATGCCCGTTTGGCAAAACGTTTGCAACATCCAGAATACTGAATATTCAATTCCGAATCGATTTAGACATGTCCGTTAACCTATCTGTCGGTTAGTTCGTCTGGGTTTGCTAAGCTTTCTCTGGGAGAGAAATCAAGATATCGATATCACATTTACAAAAAGCATCAAAGATTTTCGCATGCAGTTTGGTGTAACAAATGGGCCAAATCGGTCAAAAAAGAAGATTATAGCACGACATAGACTCAGAACATCGCTGCTTTCCGTATTTTTGGCATATTACTCATAAACTATTATGCAGCGGTACCAGCGACGGAAACCTCCATTCACATTGTGGTGATGACTTTTCAGTACCTTTACAAACAGAATAAAAAATCGGCCTGTCCAATATTATAGAATATTAGTTTTTCCTAAGCAAAGTGGCCACAGCCGCACGCAAATGCGCTACTTAGCGCTTTGTGATTTAGTACGTACATGTTGCGTCAATCAGCACTTGTTTCATGAGTTTGTGCCAAAATGTAGAATCAGTTCGTAATTCATAAATTACAAGCGATACCAATTGTAGGCGTGTTTTGCAAGCTTGAGAGTTTAAGATCGATCTGTCGCACCTGTTGAAAAACTTGAATTAATTTCTCATAGGAAGAGACAAGCGGGCCTAAATAAATCGAAATTACATGACTGTTATAGCTTGCAATAAGAGAATTGGTTACAAACCAATTAAGAAACAAAGTTATATGAATTCTTCGATGTGGGCCAGAAAAGCAGTTGTATTCACGTTAAATTCATTATACAGTATACTGTACTTCATTAGCATAATTAATTTAGTTTTTGTACAGTATGCTCGTACACGTGTAACTCTTAATTGAAACTTTCTGTCTTTCTAAATTCGCCAATTGTTGAAACAACAAAAAAAAAAAAAAAACAAAAGCAGTCAAAGCAACAGTTATTACAGCAATGAGCTGGAGGAAGTACCGGATGATATCCTAATGGAGTTAATAGCACGCTTTGGGCAAACAATTATGAGGGCTCGCAATGATCTAGAAAAGTAAGTAAAAATGCTGTTTTCCGGCTCGCTGTACGCTCATTATGTGAGCTTACATTCGCGGTTGCAAGTTAGAGGCTTTGCTTTATTCAATTCGCAAACATATTGCATTTTTCGTAATTCTAAACAAATTGCTCTTTGCGTTCTGCTTAATCGAAACACTGGCTCTAACTATGATTGGAAAGTAGTTCTGTCGTTCCGGTTGCACATTCGTTCTTGACACAGTCACGTTCGAGTCCGCATTCCGATTGTCTTCTGTTGGAACACTAAAGCTCACAAATAAATATTGATACATAGTCGGATAATCAAAATTCGCAATCTCAGATCTTCTCTGAAAGTGAACGCGATATCTAAAAAACTAATAAGAACATTACAGTCGAGCAATTATATATATTACATACCCAACCGCACATTGTCTAACAAAATTCTCATTTTTATTATAGAACATAACAATTATATCTTATGTCTATGTGAAGACATATATTTCATGTGCGTATTTATGGGGAAGCGGGCCCGAAGCGCAACCTAATGTAGCACAACTTTAATCCTTACATAGGGCGGGATCCAAAAATAGGCGTAGATGATCCAAGTTTTGTAGAGTTCATTTTTGTATGAAATTATTATAATATTATGGGTCAATTTCCATCACCATATATTAAAACTTTGACTTTTCTGCTCTAAAAAGGATCAATTTTCGTGAAAATGCTTGCCAGGGTAGGATCCAAAAAATAGTCCGAGATGGTTCAAATTTGGCACAGCTAGTTTTTTTATGTTAAATTACTATTATGATATAGTTTTCATCGTACAGCATTGAAAATTTTACCTTTTTGTCCTATGTACTTCACCTTTCGGTGTATGAGAGGAGTTCCAAAATTACCACAAGCCATCCAAAGTTTTCATACCAGTTTAGAATGCCAAAGTACTATTACTTAGCCACTTTTGGCGTAAAATTTCGAAAATTACTTTTTTTTCCAATTAACGACTTTTCAGAATACTACAGAACTACTTTCAATAGCGATCGTCCTTGTGTTAAAAGACGTCACTGTATCAAGTTTCAGCAAAATGTCTTAAAAATTCCGACCTGTGGCTGGAACAGGCGGACTGGCAGGCTTAGATCAATTCAGATTATGATTATGAATAGATGGGTATAATAAAAAGCGGGACTATCTTAAGCCCTTCTGCTTGTTACTTACGGCGGCACCAGCTTAATATACCCTGTACCGTAGGGTATAATAATCGCAATAGCTAAAAAGTAAAAACAAAAGACTAGCTTATATTCGAATTGAACACCAAAATGGTCCTAACCCTCGGTTTATAAGTTTACTGCCACCTTCAGAATAGATGAGAAACGTCAGGCTTTAGTCAGTAGCGAGGACTAGTCGAAGACATTTTCTTTTGGCAAGCTTTCATAAGAACCATTTAAAATTTCGAGGCAGGAAAAGGTATGATCGGTTGGTAGGCAAATTCATAATAAACGAAAACGCTTAGGCTACCACTACGAGAGATATTGAAATAAAACTGGGTGTATGCATTTTCTCGAACTTCGTAAATGACCAAAGTCCGCATGAGCAGCAGTACTAGTAGTAGTAGTAGGTAATAATTGCGATAAACTTTTTTTTAGTCGTAGCTACAGTGAAATGCACATGACTTTCCGATCGAGAATATACCCACTAGGCTGCAGCCACCACCTACCTACATCTTTCTGTTCTCTCATTTCGTACTGGCCGTCACCGTGTGAAGGCATATAAAAAAAAAAAAATCACAAAAAAAGCAAAAAAAGTTCTAATGGATCAAACGATGCGCCCGAGCGCTCGTAATGAACCAAGTTCGTTTACAAGTGTTTGCATTAATTTGACACAAAGTTTCTCACTGGCTCTAAATATTGCTTTCTAAAGAGCTGTGTAAAAGCAAAACAATACTAATGAAGTGACTTGCATACTGCGCAACAAATCCACGAACTGCGAAATGATGAATGCTCACTCTCAAGTGTTTTGTTTGCTTTTACGCTTAAAGAATAAACGAATTTGATATTTCTCATGAGTACTACGGATATTTATTTTTAGTTCTAAGCGTACGGTAGATTTCGGTTTGACTCGTGGCTATCCCGGTTCTGCGGAAGCCCGGCATCGCATGGGTATAGCTTCAGCCAATTCGCCAGAAGGTCCCGGACGAAGACGACGTTCTGAAATAGAAGTCTAAGTAAATACTTATCAACGCAATGGTAACAAAACGAATGAGTAAAAGCTAAAGAAGAAACACGTCCCGAAAATGCAAAAAAAAAAAAAAAAAAATTAAATAAATTTAATTTAAATTTGATGTACATACGCAATTGTAATGCTGTCTAATTTTTTATCAGAGAGATTCTTGTTTGACATAATTTATATAAACATATATATATATAAATATATACACATAAATGTATATATATATATATACACATAAATGTAAGCATAAACCGACAAAATTAGAAGAAAAAAATTTGTAACTTTTTTTAGTAGTTGTACGTCAGTAATTAAAAAACAAATTTTAGTTGTTAAACTGTTGCTCCAAAGGATTGAAATTCTCATTAATAGTTGAACGCGTATAAAGAAGTGTTAAAACATGAATAGCCAAAGTCATAAAGCGTAGCAAACGTGTGTGTGAATGTAAGCTTAGTTTATAAAATAAAATCACTACATAACGTAACAAGGAACGATGTGTGTTAAAAAAAAGAAGAGACATAATTTACTTTTCTATATATGTATTAAATGTGTAGATGTGATTATAAAATTAATCTTCGGTTTCTGTCGTAAAATATATAACCATTACGGCCCCCCATTCCAAAGACACAAGAAATTACTCCCTTTGTTGATTTCTTTCCTTATAGCGTAAATAATAAAACTCTTGATAACTCACGTGTTATTTTTTTATCTTTATTATTTTTTTATTAAAAAAGCCATTTTGTATCGAATAACATAACGAAGAATAAAACGTACGTATGTATACAACAAAAACTACCTGTTGCTTTTTAGTTTTAGGAGAAAGAAAAATTGAAACGTTTTTTTTCTCTACTTTCTATGTCTGTACAGCACAAAGAAAACCATTTCGGCAATGATTATTAAAATACTTTTAAAATATTATTATATCATGTAATAAAAACATAAATACGTGAAAGAAAAGGAAAAAATCAAGATTTCATTTGGTGTATGATATTAACTAGAGACTAGACTAGAGTCAATCGCCAATCATTAAAGTATAGTAAGGTAAGGATCGCAAGAATAATTTAGATAACTTGGAGAAACGTCCTCAGTTTGGATAGCTACCGCCTAAAACATGACACCTCCGCGTTGATAAATATATGTTGCCTCCAACAAAAAAATCATTTTTAGAAAACACACACATCTAGTGTCCGTCCAGTGTCAAAATTGCAGATATGTAAATATGAAATCGGAATCCGCCCATAAATGGCTATAGCAGCCATAATAGAGGTTATACATGTTTGGAATATAATTCGTATTTTTTATAACTTGTCCATCTGGCAACAATAAGCGGTCGTAATATCAACGCAAAAATGCTTTTTCATACAACAAAAATGTCGAGTTTCGCTCCGAATAAAGAACATTCATCGACAGCATTTTTTTCGCCCAAACGATGCAAAAGAAAGTCTTGCCTACATTGTGTCCTAAGTGGAGAAGAAATGTGCATCTGTTTTGAATATGCTAGGTTTGAAACTTCACGGCTAGATCGAGTCGTACCATCAATATCTGTTGCATGAACGAATCGGTTTGGCAGGAGGCTTGGTCTGTTATTACTTCTTCAAATCTGGTGAGAAAGCTAATACTAAAAGTCTGCGAAGAACAATTAATGGACTTTAACCGTTCGCAGCTCAATAAGCGAAGGCAACACAAGGCGGTGTTTTACGTGCCTGGGAAATGAACTCGAGTTCTTCCTATCACCGTTTGTTTGTACCGGTAGGACAACCTTTTACCGAGCAGGACTTCACTTCTTACAAACATCATCGAAAATGGCTCGATAATTGCTTTACCACAAAGGAAGCACATTGTTTTCGTGTAGCATTCACACAGGTGAGAAGGATGTATAGTTGGCGATAGGCGGCACTTCGAACACGGTACGATAACCGTGTATCCCCTACATAAAAAGTCAAGTCTCTGGTGCATTCGGTCACTTCTTCAGATTTAGCGGTTTTAGTGTAACCTACTATTTTCAACCAATCAAAATTAAATTAAACGGTCATGTACTGAATGCAATGGATGCCAGAAATACGTATTTATACCAGAAAAGAAAATTCCTCTCGATATTCGAAAACTGAGCAGATAGGCGAAGACTTGAAAATATAAAATTTTATATTCTGAAATTTAATATTCTGCATGAAAATTCGCGTAAGAGAGAGGTGCTTCATAAATGGGTACTGCCTTTGCTTATAGTGGAACGAAAACGTCGGGACAGAAGTCGATCGCTACAACAGCGAAAATGTGGGAACTGCAGTTCGAATTTCCGTCACTTTCACGGTATTCTCTAGACCTGGTCTGCAGTTTCTATTGTTTGCTTACAAATCTCGAAAAGATGATATATGCAAAAAGATATAGACCGAATGCCGACTTCATTGCCGAAACTGCAGTGTCTGTTGAGAGTTCTATCTATTCACTCTATACAAAAGGGCATCGGCATGTTACACATACACCGACATACCTAAAGAAGTTTTAGAAAATGTACTCTCTGAAGTGGATATGAGAGCCCCTGCTATCAGCAGAGAATTCCAAAAGAAACGATAAAAGACGACGCGTCCGGATGGCGTCTCTAATGGGACATTAAAAGTCGCACTTCCAGAGGGACTTGAACATTTTGCAAAAATATTTCAAAAACGCCTTAAAGCAAGAAAAAAGAGTGCTTTGTCATGAGTATGGAAACTCTAGAGGTAGATTCTCATCTTCATATGTCTGCCAGGTCGAACACACTTAGTAGATTAGGTCATAGATATACAAAGAAAAAATTTTCTTTAAAGTTTATTTCAAAAAAATTTTAATGTTTTATTTTTTTTAGTAATAGACAAATTTTTAGTTTTCTTATTAAAGTCAAACTTTTTATGTGATAAGATATAATTTCAAAATGTGTGTATATACAGCAAATTTCGTGGGATATTCTTAAAGAGATAAACTCAATAGGTTTGAATTTGTGCAATAAATTAAGATAATTAATTAACGTAATATCTAAGAAGTCTCTAATATGGAAGAACTTGATGTAAAATATTGAACACAAGTGTAGTCTTTTCATAGCTAACATTAAACTTTGTGTATACTTGGTCTCATACATTCACGCTAAGAATGCACAGTTACCTTAAGCTGGCAAATTCCAATATTACCGTAACTGTACTCAGAAGTACAAAATGCAAAATGCAAATCAAATACAACATTAGCTGTCAGCTGTGTTATTTTTTTCAAAAATTATAAACATTTATAATGAAAAATTTATGAATATATACAACGAATAAAATTTCGCAACTATCGAACAAACTTTTAAAAGAAAGTTTCCGTACAATCACGGCTAGTCGGGATCTTAATTATATGTAAGACATTTCTCTTGGTTATTAATTATTAATTGGCACTTTAGTGAATTTCGTAAAAAATCTAAAGCACATCTACGTGTATGTATGTGCGTGTAAGTAAGTGGTAAACTAATAAGCAATAATGTGAATAATACTTTTTTGTAAATGGTGAGTTTTCAATTTATTTTCTCACACAGAACTTATCACTGAAAAGTAATACTATTTCATTAAGCACACATATGCTTATTTTCTACGTTGGCTTTTAATGCATTTGCATTATGTTTATTAGTAAATTATTTACAGTCTTCTACCTATATATTAAATACTTTAGTAAAAAAAACTCTTAAGCTACTTTCGCGGCTTCCCCATGCTTTTCTCTTCTTCTCCTATATTTTAACAGCGGCATTTGTTGTCCCATTACCACCACTGTTGGAAAGATTCGGGATGTTATTGTTACTGTTGCTCTTATTTGGCAAATTACTGTTGTTGGTACTTTTGTTGTTGTTGTTGCCTGCATTGTTTAGATTGATGTTTTGCCCTCGGATCAATTCCATAAACTGATACGGTACGTGATAGTTTTGTCCTTTATGCTCGACAATTAAGTGACCGCGACAAGAAGAGGCTCCAACCACAGTAACAGTTTCGCCTTTCTTCAATTGCTCGGGTGGTAAATTAGATAGAGTATCTTCTGGGAAAGTCATTTTCATAACGCGATTCTGTGGAAAATTCAATTTAGAATTCCCAACAATTGTGTAATTGCGTGACGGCGGCACGGGTGGCGGTCTTTCCTGTAAACGATGTCATTATTACGTTTACTTAATTTGTATTAAAATTTATCTTTGAATGGAAAGATATAAAGGAATAGAGTCTGCAGAGTATTTTCAGAGAGGCAAATAAATCCATGGAGCAATAGTGATTGCATTTAAACTTTTCCGCCGCTTATATTAACCTTAAACAACTCGAATCTAGATAAGGATAATTTGGTTTCATATTTCAAGAAATTCAAGTAATTACCTAGAATGACGCTCAAAGGTCGTAATTTTGCGTCCAACTACTTCTTCTTCTCTTCGTTGTACATTTATTGCTGAAATCTAGCCTTTTCTGTCCTTAAAGTCACTTTGGCTATTTTCGATTATGCTGTCTATGAAGTGATTAAAAGTTTTTCATAGTAAGCGAAAAAAATCGCACTCTATGTGCTTTTTTTGTGTCAACAACGGATGGATGGAGGTGTACTCGTTTTATCAAGACATTTGCAACATGTCCATCTATCCGTCCATCTACAAATACTGCACGTACGTAAGTATTGAAAACGAGACAAAGCGATCGAAGGACACGCCTTCAGTGACACGTAAAGTGAAGGCCGCTCTGTTTTCAACTCAAAAAAAAAAAAAAAAAAAAAAATTTGTTTTTGTGTCTTATTAATCATTACAAGCTACAGCAAATGAAAATAGACAAAATTTCCCCATATGTCGAGGCGGTTGTGCCTATACAAAAAAGGAAAAAATCATCCACGCTTAAGAAAACTTGAAAACCCTTTTGCAATCCCTTCTGACCTTAAAGCGACGTTTCCATTTACTATTTGCATTTTTGTATTTATTTTATCGTGTACGCTATCAAAATAAAAGTATATTTATAGACTGAGCTAATATTCTGTTGCTCCTTCCATAAAAGGGTTCCTATGGGAAATATGTCTTTCCTTTGAAATATAAAATATAGTTTTTGATAATAATAGTTAATGATTTTTGATATTTTATTACGATATTCGAATACGGAAATAAATACGGCTGGTTGTTCTACTTGGGAAGTTCGACCGTATGTTATTTCCTGTGTCGGACCTATTAACTTTAATAATCATGTGATGTATGTATATAAATACACAGTTGATCAGCTTAAAATTATGAATCGAGCCATGACCAAAATGTGTTAGAAAATAGTGGAAAATATTTTGATTGATATATATTTTTCCGAATTTTTCTCATTAAATGTCTTTTTCAAGTGAAAAAATGATCAGAATGATCAGATGCATGCAAACACCTGATAGAAAACAATGTGATCTCGCAACAATTCAAATAGCTGATTTCAGACGGATAAAATTGAAAAGGGTTGTTCTAATTTTTTGTTCTTCTAACTTTGTTCACTTCATATTTAAAATATTTGATGCTGCGAGTGTTGAAAGGTTTTAAAACAACAACGTCTGCTTGACTTGACTTGAACGTATGCCACTCTGTGCTGATATTTCGTCTTTCAAAAGCCGTTTTATGTCGACGTCGATGATGCATTGAAAAGACAATCATTACATTAAATAATTTGCAGCTACTCATAAGCGAAAAATGGCAATGGAGGAGTTGACAAAGAGGAGGTAGTGGAAACAATCCACTCATGTGTATGTTAGATAATGCGAACATATGCTAGGTTGCTGCCAACATGTACAAAGGAAGCAAAATAAGCACTAACTCGAAATATATATTGCTTTATGGACCACCCTAATGGGAGAAATGAATAAACAATCGTACAAACAAACGAATAGACTAGTAATTGAGCGGCATGTTCTTATACACTAAGGACACATTAATTTTTTGTTTAAATTGCTATTTACCAAGTCCAATCCAAATAGCGTGCACGTTTGTTGTATTATTTTCGCATCGCATTTCTCATTTGGATCCGGGGGCGGAGTGCCAGCAATTGGTTGCGGTCTTGGCCTTGTGACAGCGTTTTGGTTAGTGGTTTTCGTTGATAAGCGCTGTCCAGATGTCGATGTTGCCGATGGCGCCCCCAAACCAGTTGATGTTGCTGTTGCTGAAACAAAGATATTGTGTGTGTAACAAGCTAAATACCGCAGGGGCATAGTTAACATTTATAGCATTCATATATGCAAGCAATGTTCAATAATGCTATTAGCCTCAAAAAGTTTTGCGCTTTCTAAAACTTTTGAACTTTCTATGAAAAACAAAGTAAATAAACATGCGGTAGTGTAGGTTTTTTAAACAGGAGGAGATAGAAAATGCGGACAATTGGGCTGGGGATAGCTTTAATTAATGTATAAATGTTAGTTCAATGATTGCGCGTTATATACATTCTTACTTGAAAGTTGAATGCCATTGTGACTGGGATTGTTACCGCTGCCGTGGTTCTTGGTAAGCTTAATTGCCGTGGGTAGTACCAGCAATCCGTTGTTATGAACCCGTGATCGTTGATGTTTAACGGCACCCATCTTCTTTCGCCATTGCCAGCCTCGCCACGAAGCTTGTATTAGAGTGGCACTCTTGTTGCGAATTTCCGTTCTTAAGTGTTCTAAATGCTGACGTATGCCTTCGCTTAAGAACACGTGACGTTTGCCAGGAGCCCAGGCTAAAGTGACAGACCCCTCCACAACAGGTGGATTCTCCATAGCGTACTGCAGTATCATATTGCAACACTCTTCCATTTTATCTTCGCTGCGCCTTACCAAGCAGAATGGAGCCAGCATGCGATAACGGGCATTGAACTGTTTAAATCGCATGCGATGGGGAAAACCAGAAGCCATTAGATTAACAGTTTCCAATACTTGCAGCGACCGTATCTGTCTGACCACACACATACGTTCGAAGCAACCAGCTCCCTCAGAGGAATTGCTCCGTATGCAACGTATAAAATGTGGACGCGCATGCACCAGAGTGCGAAGGAGATTATCCAGGCGTGTGTGGAAATCTTGAGTAAGCGTGGACACCGGTTCATCACCATTCAATAAATCCGAATGGGAGGTGGGTGCAATACGAAAACTTAGACCTCTAGGTACACTTTGCAGAGCAAACAAGGCCTTTAATTCGGAACCAAATAGATGAGTAGCAAATCCAAAATTACAGGTATGCTTATAAAATACGGCTACTAAATCATCGGGCACCACGTCGCGATTAGTATCAAGAAAATCAGTGGCATCGTATTCTACACGTCCGGCAAAATGACGTATTGTAAACATACGAGGATCATGCGGTTCACCCGTATGTTTGCTCTCTAGACGCGGTGAATTTCTGTGTTGCACTTTAATTTTCACGACATAACTTTCGGCGGTTCCTCGCACTGAGCACTCAGCATCCAGCATACTAAGTAAACCGGTACGCAATGAAGAAATCAAATCAATACAAGGTACATTGTCCATATGACCCTAATAAATATTTGTAACAATCAATTTCAAAATTTTCATCAATTTCATCAATTATTAATTAAAATGTTTTCCGAATTTTTTGAGATTTTTAAGATTTTGTAACTCTTGAAAGCTTTATGTTAGATATTCTCACCTGCCCATAGTCAACTTCTGTGTCACAAATTATGCCTTCGTCGCGGCAAGATTCAACTGAACTTTTAAATATATGTGTATTGTAAAAGTGCTGCATTGTCTCCGCACATAAATTAATGCATAGATGTTCTAGTTGAGCATGTGGCGTGGGTTGCTCGAAACCAAACATGTCTAGTATGCCTATAAAACCATCTGTTGCGTGACGGACGGCATTGTTGAGAGCAGCCATCGATTTAGAACCGGAATTTCCACCTATTGTGGAGGCATGCTGGGAATTAATATCGGCCTGATTATGTACCGATTCATTGGAATCTGAACTTAAAGTACCAAGAGTGGAACCGAGACGTTTTAGACTATTTGCCCGCCGAACGATAGTGGCGACAGTGCGACAATACAAAGCCTTTGCCAAGCAATCTCGTGTCATATTGGACATGTTCGCATCACAAACAGATTTAATAAGTTGACCGCGCGCATTATGGGTACGCGTCGTCAGCCCGCGGCAAAGTGCTGCCGGCGGTACTCCCAACAAACTGGCAACTGCATTTAATTCAGATTCCCCCTTCACATCAACTTCGAGGTTCTGAAAACAAATATTGACACCATTTAACTTAGCAAAGAAAGAAAAGCTCACGCCCCAAGTCGCATTAAATACATATTTTACATAGCAGTTTAATTTAGGCCTAAACAATAAATTGGTATCTCTTCACTATAGAAGAGATTATATGGGTTTCTGCGTTCTGTAGGCGATGTAATGAAACCCATGAACGACAGCATTTAATCACTTTCCTCCTATCTCTCATCGCCTCCTCAGCGTAACTGCTGACTTTTGTACGGACCATATGGACACACAATGCAGTATTTTAAGTTGTGAAATTTTTGTTACTCACTCCGGCCGTAAAAAATATCTGATATAAGATTGGAATTCCCGAAGCTAGATATCGCTTTTCGAATATTCAAAAAAATAAAAAAGGCTTGTAGGATGCAATGACTAATATGTACGTAACGAAACACAAGTGACCTGGTATCGAAAAAGCAACAACAAGTATTTAATTGTGTATCCAGAAAGAAGATAGGATACGATTGTGCTGTTAAACAGCGCAAACAATGACAGGGGCGACGATAATCTAACCTCGGTTAAAAAAACCGAATTAACATTAGACACCGAATTAGAACAGAATTAACATTAGGTAAGTGTTTTAAAAGGCGTTCATGAATGCGTAGAGAGCTTTAGTGTGTTATGTTGCACCAATTAGAGCCAGTTGCCACATAGAGGCTTGCTTTACTTGAGAACGCTTACATGGGAAGCGGCAAAAAAATTAAACGTACGCAGTCAAAGTTTTGTAATTTAAACCTGTTTAGAGGTTCGCTTTTCGTGGGACGGTTATATGAGGTTAAGTTCAAAAAATGGACCAATCCCATCCAAATTTTGCCCATTATTTTCCTATGCCGAAATACTGTTATTACTATTACTATTATTACGATATACTTATTCGGCGCATTTTGTAGAGAAATTTGTAAATTGTAAATTTACAAAATTTTGAATAACAATTTTTCCAAAATAAAGTGCTGTGTCGATTGCAGTCCTAAAGGCAGTCCAATAGAATGTTTTAGTTACAGAAAATGTATGATAATACATAGTAGTCAGTGATACAACTCTGTTACGTATTGCGTTGTTCAATTCACGCACTATTTTTCGGTATCCTTTTTCTGACTTATTTATTCTAATAACATTTTTTCAGCTATCATTACCAATATATATGGCTCAAGCCACTCTACTTGCCACGTCTTACTCAGATTGAAACACTTTTTTTGTATATGCTCTAGGATTGACAATTGTACAAAAAGATACTACTCGCCTTATTCTTTTTTCTTTCTCTTCTTAGAATTAAGTTACGTTTCTCACCTGTCCATCAACGAATTGCACATTTCCCAAAAGCAAAACGGCCGCCAGCACTCGTACCACATCCAAGAACGGTATGCCTAAAATACCCAAACACGTCTTCCAGGCTTGAAAGCGCGAAGCATCGTCCTGCTCATTTTGATTTATGTCACCATACTGCAAATAACGTAAGTTAGTCGGCGAATATCCTTCTAAATTCAATTTTATGCGTTCTTCGCGATTTAATCCTGCCAGCATTTGATAGAAAATGTGGTAGTTTTTTTCTTTATGCAGCGGTCGTATAACGCGCGTCTGATCCAAAAAGTAACAATGAATTTTTGTGCGATATAAAGCACCATCTGTAACCTGGACCTCAATAAACTGGCCAATACGACTGGATTCAGAGTTTGAGGTAGTCTTTGCCGAGCCCAACGATCGTAATACCGTGAAGGCGGCAGCTAAATGCTTGAAAGCGTCTGTTTCGGGTCCTCCCCCAGCGACAGCAAATAATTGACGCAACAATAACATAGAGCAATGAGTTTTTCCCGCTCCTGATGTGCCGGATAGTATAATAGCTTGAGGATAACCTGTTTCCGCCTGTTGTCGTACAGCTTCTTGCACAATTTTGCGAAGCTGTAAAGCCAACGGTAAAGAACGTGTTGAAGAAAGAGTTAGGGGGTTGCCTACATCCAAATACGGGTTAATGGACAGCAGTATCGGCCCGACATTCGTCTGAAAATGTTAATTAAAACAAAGTTTTATGAAAAAAGAAATTAAATGGTCAGATACTTAGTATTCAAATAAAAGCTCAACTCAACTAAAACTATTATGTCTAAATTAAAACTTACACTGAAAAAAATTAATACAATTCGCTTAAGGAGAGAACTGTAAGATTTTAGGAAAGCAATTTTTTTAATCTTTTTTGGCTTAATAGTTGATATATTGAACTCTTTAGAACATTCGTGTTTATTCCTAAGCACTCAATAGAGTATTAAAGGTTCGCTCAACAATTTCCTCCAAGATTAATGCTGTTATTTTATTGGATTTCTTTCTATCGAAGAAAAAGTCAAAACAAACGCAATCAAAGTGATTTTCCTTGTTAAACATATTTCTGGAAGCAACAGAGTTTGCACTTAAGACATATTAGACGTGCAAACTATATGTTTGTGCCGTATTTAAAAATAAAGACGATTGCTTTTCCAGCATAAATGAATTCATTGGTATCATCCGCGAATTTTCAAAAAAGGCCACGTAACACTTTTCTTTAAATATTCTTTACTTTCCCGTTTTTCTTCAGGCTTACTATTGATATGGCAATTGGCTATTATTTTCATTAATTTTGCTTTACATTAGCCTTACAAAAAAAATGAGCATAATTTTGTCTTATGCAAAGCCATCTGTTATCTTTACAGAACTTTTCGAATATTTTATAAATTATTTCATTGACTATTTCTTTAATATTGACTAGTTTACAACCTACGATATTATCTTTGCTTGGTGTAGTGCTAGTAGTGGTTGATCAGTGTGACAACAAGCACGGGTTCGTATCTCGTAATCAGCGAAGAGGTTTTTTTCGTTAATAAGAATAAACACGCATGGTTCTCGTGATGATGGCAAAATCAGGAGGGTAATTTACGACTGAATACAACATTGTTTGAAACTAAGCAAATAGTGGCTGAGCGAGAACTGCTTTTTTTGTTTGTGTTTGATAAATATCATTCAAAATTTTTTAAAAGTCTCAGGCTGTTTGTAAGACATGAATTGTCCTGCCTTTTTTTGTGCAAAACTAGCAATTATATTTTTTAGCACTTTTGAATTTATATAACAATTCGTTTTTTTCTTCCTTAGCTCAGAGATTTACTATTTCTTAGATATTCCATGTGCAATATTCCGTTTTAAGTGCCTTATTTTGTGCTATTATATAACAACGTTTATATATCGTACACCACGAGGGTGTATGAAGTTTGTGTGGATGTAGGTAAAACCGTCTTTCATTATACCGATCGGTTTAGAATTACTTTCTGGATCTAAGATTGTCGTTCAGTTTTCTTGCGTTCAACCAAGTAATTTTTGAAATATTTTGATAAGATTTGGTGCACTTGCTGCTTATGGACAAAGGATAAACGCTTTGGAAAATCGTTCAAATAGAACAACGTTTTCGACCGCTTTCCATATAACACCTTATTTTAAAAAGTCGTTATATGAATACCTGTAGTGTATTAAATGATGGTGGTCGATTATAACGCTTTTATTTGTTTTTCTTTCATAATATTTTAAAAATTTTTATCATATGAACTTATATACATATAAATATCTGACGACTACGAAAGAGGATCGGCATCTCTTTGCGAGCGTAACTTATAAATTAACGGTTAAAATGTGATGAAATTTTGATACATTTTGTTGAAGTAACCAAAATATATATGGTTTTCTCTTTGGTGATTCTCTACGTATTTTTCTAACACTGGTCTAATAGTAAAAGGAATTTTCTTTTTTATACTATAGTTTTTTATACTATAGTAGTAGTTTTTAGACTATAAGTTCGACAGGCATCTTCAAATGGATTCAGAATGTCAAACTATTCTTATATCCGATGGAATCTCCAAAGTCTAAGTACAACAAACGAAATAGTATCACAGTTATATTTTCTGGTGTTCAAATATGTATGTTTGTGGCTACTAGAAATAAATTCAGCACAAATAATAGTAATAATAAAAATTTCATCCGCCTGAGTAGCCTAAGGCGAGGAATCTCGACTAGCAAGTCAATGGTCGCGGATTCGAATCTCAAGTGCGGTGGAGTTTAATAAAAGCCGATAGCCTTAGATGCTGCTAGTGCTTTTAAGACTTTAATCTTAGAATTTATTTCTCTGGCGAAATTAATAATAATAATAATAATAATAATAATAAAAATTTCAAAAAAAAGTCCATCTGTAATCGTACTACTTACAAAGTAACAATTGTCATTGAATCTGGCCTGTAAGGTTCTCATTACAGCGTCTTCTGTTAACGGCCCAGATAAGTGTATTAGATCTTCCAGTTCATGAGGCCGTTTGATCAGTTGTCTTTGCTGCTGTTGTTGTTGGCTATGCGATATATTTTTCGCTTGATTGGCATATGGGCTCATAAGACCGCTGCTGTTATGATTATTAGCATTGCTATTATGCATTGCGATCTGAGCCCCGTTGAAATTTGAATTAGGATATCCCATGGGCAGCGTGCTGATGCCATGGCAGGGGTTCAAATGTTTTTGAAGAGGTATAAAGGGTAACGGCTGATTTTGTATATGTGTCTGTGCTGACGGCCGTATTGGGAGCGTATTGACAGTGTTTGAAAAAACATTAACAGTCGATGCAGGTAGAGTTGGCATCACAACGGAATCAAGAAAGTTGTGAGCAGACGAGGACACTGCAATGCGAATCAAAGAAAATAAAATATTGAATGAATTAATTCCTGATTAAATATTAAAATGCAAGCAATTATAGGCTTAATGATAGTTAAGTTTGTTTAAACTAGGTACAAAATATACATTAATATATTTTGATTACTTCATTTTTCAATTTTCTGTATACGCCATTGAAGTTGACGGAGACAGAGTTTTTGTTTAAAGAATTGTTAATATTGAAAAACTTGAGTGCTCTGAAGCTCCGCTAGAAGTGTCGGATGAAGAAATCTAAAGTTTACTAGACGACAATCTAGCACAGATTCAAAACGAATTTGCTGCACATTTAGGAATTAGTCAACAGGCAACTTCAGTTATATGCACGCCAAGAGAAAAACACAAAGAAGGAAAGTGGATTCTTTATGAGCTAACCGAAGAGAACAAAAATCGTAATGTTGATGTCTGCTTAAATTTGTTAAGTCGATTTCAAAGAAAGGATTATCTTCATCAACTTATTGCGGGCGTTGAAAAGTGAAACCTTTGCGACAATCCAAAACGACAAAAAAGGTGGGATGACCCAGGACAACCAACCACATCTCATGCAAAACTGAATATTCATGCCAAGAAAGTGCCACCGTATGTTTGGCGGCATTGGAAACAAATTGTCTACTAAGAACTTTTAAAGCCCGATGAAACTGTTGCATCTGAATGATATGCAGTCTAACTAATGAATTTAAGTGAAGTGCTACAGGAAAAAATGCACAGAGGCATAAAGTGAATCGAGAAGTGGTTTTGATTCGTAACACGTACATGCGCCCACATGCGGCAGAAGCAAACGAAGATATACTTTTCAGCTTAGGTTGGGAAGTTTTACCGCACACCGCATATTCTATGACAAAATAATGATTGTGCATATTGCGGTTATTAAGCTTTGTAGCAAGTGCATTGTTACGAAAATGCCATTTTTCATGATTTGGGTTTCATGAAAACTAATCGGTTTTCGAAGAAATTAAATTGTGAAGAAGGGGAAGACCAAATACACATTTATGACGCGTAATGGGGTATAATGGTAACTTTCTTGTAAAGGGGTATATAAACAGAATATTTGCAGAAGGCGAAGACCCGAGTCGAAAGTCAGTCCAATCAGTTGTAAGCAAGTCGAATCAGTCGAAAAGAAAATTTAAGTGAAAAGCGTTGTATTGTGAAGACACAGTAAATACTCATTCTAAACATTATAAATAAAATCCACGCTATTCACGATCTAGTTACACGAACCTAGTTAAGAAGTGCAAAAAGAGAAATTTATTTATTTCTTTCAAATATAGTCGAATTGTATCAAAAAACGGAACGACTTTATTCACACACTAAATGTTTTGATGCATAGCATGTGCTTAGGGCATTTATGCCTAAACATACACTTCTTTTTTATTCTTTCTTCTTTTTTAATTGTTCACTTTCATTTGTTTGGCTGTATACACCTGACCTTTTCTATATCCATCATCGAAGAATGAGGCTTCAGAGACCTCCACAAAGTGTATACACTCATCAAATCCTGAGTCGTTTAAGCTTTTAATCTGAAATGTTCCCCGATCGATTGAATGAATCTCTTTTTTGTTCTATTTTGCTTTTGGCGAATCACCCAGCGGATGTCCCACATTCATGTAACGCGGTTGCTGTCAAAAAGATGATAGGAGAGAGAAGGAGAGAGAGAGAAAGAAACAGGGAAATGGTGCCCAAAGCCTAATGCCTTTCTCGACATGCTGATGCGTTGCCAAAGTTCACGCCTGGAGGAGCAGCGGTCCGAATTGCCGAAGCCTAATCTTGTGTTTGATGCGGAAACGCCTCGCCAGATTAGCAATTTTGGCCGCGCAGCCAATACTGTGACAGATGACGACTTTTTCTCCCTCATTATGAAAGTACAAAGTGGCCGCATGGAAGATCAACGAGCAGCTATACCCATACCACGTCGAGATGGTATGGGTACTTTATGGGTACGCTTATTCTCAAAGCGGCACAATACATGCAAAATTCTTGAAAATTGTATACGCTTATTCTCAAAGGGGCACAATACATGCAAAACAAATGAGAACGAATATGCGTTTATTTCTTAAAGCGGCACAATACATGTAAACAAATTGATTCAAACATTCTCAATTGTATGGAATTTGTATTTTCTCAATTATATAGACTTTGTATACGGAAATTATTGAGTACGAATATACGAAGATACGTCTTAACCATTGGATTAGACGTCGTGAGTTCATAACCACAATTAAAATTATTAGAAGAGGTTCTACATAATAAAAATTCTGTAAAGGAACAAGTAAAATATATTGTAGTTCGTCAGGCCATACCAACGAGCTTATCTCCAAAGTCATCAAATATATGCAAATGAATAGAGGCTGACTGAGTGGAGCGAATCTTTGATTCACGAGATCATAATTGTGGTGCTTTTTAATTGGAAGCCTTACGAAGTTTATTGGTTAACTCTATTGATCATTTTATTTTTATTCATTGTATATTTATTTGCACCTTTACTTTATCATTTTATTTTTGCCTTATCTACGAGAGGGTTTATCCACAAAAAGCTTTCAATCGATAGGGGTAGACTTAGAAGAAACAACTTTTAGAAAGTGCTCTGCCAGATGTGCATTAATTCAAATAAAGAAAGAGATAAAACCGGCTTAACAAAGGATGATCAACGTTCCTCCATTAAAATCGGTAATGGGCAAATACCATTCTTATCTCCGACATACGCAACTGGAGAAACTCGTGCTCCCGAAGAGCTGCAAAAGGTGATGGAAATGGATAAAGAGAGAGTTGTTGCAGCCGAAGCAGCTTCAGCTTATCCGCCAGATATCAAAACTATTGACATAAACGCTAGTAATAATAGCAATTCACAAGCCAATGCTGGTGCTGGCGCCACTTATGCTGTATTGGCTAGAAGTCATACGACAACGGAACAACCAGACGATGGATGTGGGACCCATCTCAAACAGTTATGCTGTTACTGACTGAACTCTCACTAGCGGTACAGCCGAAGAAAACTTTACTGCACTTGAGATAGAAACACGCGAACACTGATTTGGTAGTCGCAGATAACAAAATACCCGATTGCCTTCAATAGGTATTCATAAATCGCGACAGTGAATGTTTGGAATGTACATTTGTAATCGAAGCGACGAATCTTTTAGCAGCACGAAATAAATTATAATCTAATCGAGTCTAGGATGGTTGAAAAGTTATGAACTTAGTCTTGCTTAATCCATCTTTTTACGTTCGATGTTACCATTGTCATCATACATGCTATAATTTATGTCAACGTTTTTTTTTTTTTAGCTTAGACGAGTTTGTTACCGAGTACGAAAACAAAAATTTTCGTTTTTCTTTTCAATTAAGCAGAGTTTCTAAATAAATCTATCATGGCTTCAAACTCTAAGTTAAGCACATTGAAAGATAATAAGAATGCTGCCATAAAGACGAAATTTCTTTCTGCGTCTAATTTTTGCTTTCAATGTATTCGACTGGAATGGCAAGTAAAAGAAAACATCTAATGAAGAAAACATTTCTCTCAACAAGTTGTAATTCAAAGATGTGGCATAAATATAAGAAAACCATAAATTATCACAAAGTAACACTTGTGAACAGTGGTACATTTTACCACGTTTTCTATTTCAATTGTGACAAGTGAGTAAAAATATGTCCCAATTTTCAAATTCTTCCTACAGAGATGTAGTAAAAACTAAAAAAAAACGAACTTTGCGCCGGACGCATATTAATTCGTTTCCAGAAACGTCTAAACAATGAATTTCATATTCGTTGCGTTCATAAGTCCATGCAGGACGCCTGTGTTAATATGAGATGTCAGCAATTTGAATTATGAAAATTCACATTTTCTCTTTGGACTCATTTTCATTCTCTTTTATGTTTTGGTTTTCCAAATTCAACGGTTAAGTGCAGTGCTCGTTATGTAAGCAACAAAAAATTCATTCCGTTTCATTCTAATTGAATTTAACTGATCCGATCTTATTCTGGCAGAAAAGAAGTGAAAAGAAACGTAACCGCAAGTAGTTTGTCCCAGTGATGGGTAAGACTAAGGCGTGGACTTATTATGATTTAGAATTAGAACATTGCCCAAGATTGCATTATCATTATTAATTTATACGTACGGCTTACAACGGATGAAATGGTGTACTGTAAGGTTTTTATTTCGCTTGATCGGTGGATAGCTTTTTTTCTGTTATGGTGTTTTTCCCGAGTTGTGCACCTAACTCGCATAAGGAACTATACACTATTCAATTTAGGTGGATCTAGACAGCCTAGCTTTCACTGTCGCAACTCAAACGATTTCTTTAACTTTAAAATAGAAATGAATAAAAGTATTTTAAAAGACCTCATCGTTCTCTTTCACATAAGTATATCTTTAAAAAAACATGTTATTCTCCGCCTCTTAATTTATTTTTTCCCTGCGTCCTTTTTTTATGTTAATACTTGTGTTTGTCTGTTTCGCCTATTATTAATGTCTTTCTTTTAAGCCATGCAGCTAAAACATTGAATCGTTTACAAATTCTGGGTAAGTTATGTCGAAATTTTTCAATTGAATAACTTCGCTTCCGCACTTTTCGAACAAATGGTTTAATATGTGATAGTGCAAATAAACAGATGTAGACATCATACAGTAAGATTGGGCATTTGGCAATATAACTCCATCGAAGCGTTATTCGACTTGTGCCCACATCTTAAATTCATTCTCGTTTGAAAATGTCATTTTACGAGCCATCCTCTGCTTCAAACTAAGAAATGCGTGAACGTCCTTAAAAACTTACATCAACACGGCTGTTAGTGAAATAAAATGCCGAAAACGGTTGAAACGATTCCACAAAGATGATTTTGACTTCGAAGAACGGCATGTCGGAGGATGATGGATGCAAAGATGTATATTTAAAGGGTAATCGCAAGCGAAAGCAATTAACCCGTTCAAGTTGAGAATGGGAAGACGAACATTCGCAATATATCGAAAGGCACGATAAAGTCATTTTCATAGTGCGAAACAATGCTCATTGCTCTATGTTGCAACCTTAGTCTAAATATACTTGGAAATGTTGAAATTAGAAATTCAACCCCGTCAGCCAGACTAATAGCACACGGACCGGCTTTGCATTTTTGTGCTTATGAAGACGTTGAAAATTGAATCGATATGTAGATAGGCTCAAGACATGAGCAGTTTCTTCGTTGCGGAATTTGAACGATGAGGAGTGTAGTGGCCAGCCACAGGCAACATTTTGAATAGTAAATGCACAAGCAGCATATTACAATGAAAAGTCGAATGTCGAAAGAAAATCGAAGGAAGGAATGAAAAATTGTACGCTTTCACACTTACAAACATGTCAGTTTTCTGCAGAGTTTTGCAACTAATTGCAAAGAGAGTAAACACTTTAAAATCAGTTTGGGAAAACTATGTTTTGGAAAAAATATGTAATAAAAACTTCATGCTCCACGAAAAAGCTAAGAAAACTATGTTAGACCGTGGCCGAATCTTTTGTGCCGGCAAAATTCATTTTGAAAAATCTCAAAGAAGTAAAGCAATATCCTGTCGAGGGATTATTATTTTTATTTTTCTTTTCGTTGTGCTGGACCATCCATAGAATCTATCTTATATATATGTAAATTTTGATCGATGCATTTGTTTTAGTTATCGTTTTATAAGCAATGAGCAAAACGGGCAATTTTTTTTAGTACTGCAAGCAGATCCTCTGAGCAATGCGGCCTGTTTTCTATATCAACTGCCACAAGAAACTTCAAAGTTTTTGCAAATTTGAGGGGATACGTTCATGTTGCCTATCGCAACAGCCTCATCACAGTCACTCACATACAGACCGACATGGTCAGCTAGGTTCAAAATTTCCTTCATAGCGTCTCGGAAGCATCTTTCTATGTATAGCAGACGGTTTCCGTAATGAGTACACTCTCATCTTTCGGTGTTAGGTATAGTAACAAAATAAAATATTGTTATCTGCATTGCAATGCTATGGTAGTGTTGTTAATGATAGACACTTAAATGAACTCGGCTATTTAAGTGATGCCATATTATGTAAACATAGGTACATAAATATCGTTTCCTAAGTCTCACATGATGAATCTCTCCTTATCGTTGCTCTATATACATCTATCCATAAAGGATAAGTGCATATACGAACATGAATAAATACAAGTTCTCTCTTTCCCTTCTTTTGTTTTTTCATTTTTTTTTTTTTTTCTTTTGTAGATGGATAAATTGTTAAGATAAGAGATTCGTTATTGTTGTTGTTAAACTTACCGATACCTTTTTCATTGATTTGATGGGGCAATGGATGTGGAATAGAGGTATTTCTTGATGAGGCAATGCCGGAAGAAACAATGCTCGTATTATGTGGCAATGTGTGATTGAATATGTGCGAATTCTAAAAATGTGCGAAGAAAAAAAGCGACAACAAAAAAATATTAGTTGCTCTCTACCTACAAGTGACGCGAAATAACTACAAATTATTCAGGTGCATGTGCGTATAAAGCTGTTCTGATTTACTTTACTTACTTTGTTGTTAATAATAGACGACGAGGTTTGTTGATGGGCGACAGTGTTAGTGGCTGTTGTTACGGTAATCGCTGCTATCGGAGGTGATGTTAAATTAACATTATTACTACAATTAGATGTGTTGCTAGTATTATTATTATTATTATTATTTTTGTTATTAATGCTGCTATTGTGGTTATAGTTGTTTATTGTAGAAAATATTAAGCCAGGGTGCGCTTTTTGCGGCTGTGCTGGATTATTGCCATTTCCATTAAAATTATTTAAGTTATTATTATGTAAATTATTATTGCTGTTGGTGTTGTTGTTATTATTATTATTATTATTATTATTGTTGTTGTTGTTGTTGTTGTTGCTATTATTATTATTATTATGATGATTGCTATTAGTCGTACTATTAAGATTGGAATTAGATGTATTCAATTCCAAGCCCGCTTCTAGGGAGCCCTGTTGGGGCTGCGATTGTTGCTGAAATGTTATATTTGTACTTCCATTGGCTGTTGGTGTCGTTGCAGTGGCAATTGCATTTTGACCCTGACCCACATGCAAACGATTTCGTAATGTGACTAATTCAGTGCTGAGACTCTTGAGACGTTGCTGTAGATGCACAGCCTCATTTGATGAGGAGGCGTCTGCAAAAATAACCACAAAAACGAATTCAATAAGCAATGTAAGTTGCAAAATATGTTTGTAATAACAAATTTTTCTAAATTATGCTCTCCCAGCTAATAAGCTTTTACCAATGAATCAGCAAATCACTGATCTGCTTGTGAAAGACATGCAGATTTGCAGAGAGGCAAGCAATGCCTTTTCACATATTAAACTTTAATACGTATTGTAATTCTTACATATTTCAAAACATCTGTTGATAAACTTTTTCTTCTCCGGTTTACTTTTAGAACAAAGAAAGCTTTGATATAGCATAGAGTAGATATTTTATTATATTATAGTGTAATAAAGTTATTAAATTAGTAACTGGACAATTTCTTGTAAACCTCCAGTTAAATTGGAATGAAAAGAGTTAGACGACTTTTAGCCGTAGAAGCTGGTTTCCCTTTTTTCCATTTTTTTTTTTTTTGAAATTTCGTATAACAAGAATATCGACTCTTGAGTTAGATTCCATAGTACAGGGCGATAGGTATTTCTTTATGAGACATCTTATTATATATCTCTGTATGAATCACTTTTGCTAAAAAAATTCTGTATGTAAATGAATGCGTTGTTAAGTCTTGTTAGCTTTTATTACTTTTTACGGGATAGACAATTACACTTTGGTTAATTTTGTTTGGGGTGAGGAGGAGTGAGTACAAACACTTTATCTGAGATTTTAATACTACAATAGATTATTAGAACATTAGACTACCTACTCTGTTACATAGCATGGGTGAGTCACTTAGACTTTTAATCATGTCATTATTATTAATTGTGAAGTTAGAAGTAATAATAAGAGCTATAAGAATAGCTTTAATCTCTTTGAAGTAAATAAAAGAATTACTAAGCGAAAACACTAAAATCGATCTAATAACTACACGATTCATTAAATTATGTTTGGTTTCGTTAAATGTATACGAGTGCAGCTTTTTCAGTGTGAAAGATTTGCTGTAGGCTCAAAGGGATTGGGTTGTACGCATCAATAATTGGACCAAATATTGTATTTTCAAATGTAAGTAAAGTGTCGTAAACTTATAATGTATGCAGAATTCCCAAAAGCTCTATAGCATCTTGCATTGCTATCTGTAGTGTAATAGTGTTGTAGCAGTACAGTAAATTTGAAGTATTTGCATATTATTGCGAAGAGTGCTAACGACAACCACGCAGCTTTCATATTTCGTGAAGGCTCGTTTAATCTTCTCTAATGATTGTACGAATCTCGAGCAAAACTGTTTGTCAACTTTAAAAATTGTATATGGATGTAACTAACTATGTTATGTTTATAAAAGTGTTTCATATTTTAACTTAATTAACAATTTCCTTAGAAATTGTTTTCATCCAGGGGGATCATATACATCCGCCAGTACACAAGTAAAAACACTATAGTGGGCCATAGCCCATCATTAAACACCTTGCAAAAGTTACAACAACAAACTAGTCAGAAAAAGTGGTCCGATCCGAACCATTTTCAGTAGAGCACATCCTTGGGAAAAAACACGTCAGTGCACTAAATTTTATCAAAATATACCCAAAATTGCTGTCTCAAGGTTAGACGGGAGAGAATAAGATGGACAGACCGACAGATAGATAGACAATCGATACAAAAAGTGATTTTGTGTAATGAGAGCGAACGTACCCCAAGGCTTTCCATAACTAGTGCAGCAAACTTCTTTGTCTACTCATTGGTCTGGAATAATTTTTGTTATTCTTTTTAGAAAGGTGCCTTGGGGTTTAAGAAATGGCTCTATACTATCACAAATTTTTCATATTTATTCAATATGCGAAAATATTATTTTTTTTTATTTTAAAATTTGATATTTCATGGCAAGCGAAAAATAGTGTGATCCAACCCACTTCTAGTTAGGGTTGTCTTTGGACCAAGGAATGTCAGCGTATCATCATTTAATCCAAATATCGCGAAAATTACGAACTGTGTCTAAAGCGTCCGAATATATACCGTACGATGACATCCATGATATGAAGCGATGTCGAAAATTTAATAGTCGACCCTACCCGGCTATAGTGCTTTTACTTGTTTTTAAGATAATATTTATAGACGATAAACAAGCCATATTTCCTAACGGGGACAAATAATGAACGCAGCCAGTATTTGAAGATAAACTTTCATCTATCAATTTTGTAAAATATTGTTACGAAAATCACACATTTGATGACTTTTTTGAGCTTTCACGAAAACTAGCCGATTTAATAAAAAACCAAAACTTGCCATAAAAAGGATTAACACAAAAATAGTGCGTTGAAGTTAGGTATTGGTAAGTTGATTGCAAAAAGGTACATAAGCACAATATTTGCTGAAGGCAAAAGCAGTCGGGTCAGGAGACTTGAATGGCAAGATTCGAACGGACAAGATCAGAACGAGAATTAAAGGTTTAAAGTTGCTGTAAGTAATTCGCAAATAGATCTTCTTAGCACAGCTTAGCGATACGAACTTAATTTCCAAAGGAGCTGAATGAAAACATAAACAAAAAAACATTTTTACTTTCTATAATATTTTAAAGGTAACAATTGGAAATTTTTTTATCTACAGAAGCCAATTAGACCCCAGCAACGAATCTAACGTTCGTTACTGTTTTTATTGATAGTTTCTAGAGCATGGATGCCAATGTTGTTGGAAAACACGAAGCAGACGCTACAGTAAACTTTTACATATAAAATACTATGCTTCTTCTTCAAAAAAGTTTCTCTGTTATATATATACAAAGTGCTTAGAGATACCGTTTGAAGAATGGTTAGTGTCCAGCAAGTATATGTGACACAAAAGAAGTATGCACTCAACCCTCTGCAGGGGATGAATATGGAGAACTGGCTTCATGAGCCCTGGAAGCGGATATCCGTGTAAGCTAGGATTGTCATTTACATGAACCAACAAGAGCGAAGTAGGTATACGTAAAAAAATTTAATATTGCCTAATTATGTAACTCGCTCCTGATTTAACAGCGATTATGCAAAAAAAAGACAGAAAACATGCTGAAAATATCGTAAGATATTTGACCGTCACGCAAAACCCAAGTTTTTTATTCTAAAGAACACACAGGCATTTGTACAACGCAGCAGAGGGAGATTGGACGGCAAATCAAACGGAAACAAGGATGCATTCTGGCAGTGCTTTCTATTTGACGAATTCCCAAAGCAAAAAGTTGACGGAAGAAAAGTAGATGAAAAATTAAATTTAAAAACAGTGTTCGTACCATACGCGTATAACACATCTAGATACACGACGACGGTTGTTCTTACGCGAGAAAACTAAATATGGCAATGTAGGGTCGAAATCGAAATGAACGGATCAATCAAAGTTACATCAGCGGACGTTTTAATGAAATCTCTCATTGCGCCAAAACATTGTCAATGTGTTAGTGGATTAGATCTAATGAATTAATAACCACAAAATAATGTCCGTATTTCGTGGGCAAGTGTTCGAGAGTACGAAACAGTTACTTTATGTAAAATAATATTACGGTGTTCGGTTTCTATCACCGGACGCATGTCGTCAAAACGTTTGGAACAAGATCGTATGTAGTATACGAGGTGGATATATCCGTGATCAACATCAACACATTGTGAATCGAGTTAAGCATCTTTGTACGTCCCTCTGCCCGCTTATACAATGTATATGGCATACATCCTCCCAGTCCCAAATACTAAGATATTAGGCTGCAATTGGGTAGAAAAAAGCAAAGTGCTTCCAGCCAAGCTAGACTCCGCCCCGAAAGCCAATTTATCGGCAGAAGCATTGGAATTTTCCGAATCGTGCAAACAATTTTCGATAAAACTACACTTTGTTTGGAAATTACTTTTAAGCACGCTTTGCAGCACTTGGGCAGCCTCCAAATTTAGGAAAAGAAATTTCTTATGGTGTTGTGTAACATTTTTTGCCGTCAAATTTCATGCAATACTTATTTTCACGTTTGACTCCGAATCCTGGATTCAAAAACATATTATATTCTTTTTCTAAAGTGCAGTGATTTCTCATACCAACTTAGGCTGACGAAATACTATTACATAGCGAGTTGTGTCGAAAATTTTGAAAATTGCAATTTTTATTCATATAACGATTTTTCAAAATAAGGCGTTGTATAAAGAGTGCAACGATCCGAACTATTTTCAATAGGGTTCATCCTTGGTTCAAAACACCTCAGTGTATCAAATTTCATTCAAATACAGTCCAACCTGTTTTTGTGCGGATTTTTATGCGCTTTTTTTTGTGCGATTCTTTTTGTGCGATTCTTTTTGTACGATTCTTTTTTTGTGCGGTATATGAATATCGACACATTGAATTTCGCCGAGAGGTTAGGTCAATCTGAACTGTGTTGGTATCACTTTTTTTGCTATCAGTGTGTATGTACACATTGCAACAGCCATTTTCATACCTATTTTTACCACCCAACTAGCCTTATACAACCATTGGACCAGGGCATAATCGCAACTTTTAAGAAACACTATGTGAAAATAACTTTCAGATACATTTTGGAAAAACTAGAAAACGATGGAATAAGCCTGACTGAAGTATGGAAAAAGTTTTCGATTTTAGACTGCATAAACCACGCCACTGCAGCAATTACTCAAATAAAACAACACACTTTAAATTCGTGCTGGAAAGCGGTCTGGCCTGAATGTGTCATTAATAGAAATGTAACCGACAACACGTCCACTTTATCATCAGATATCATTGGGCTAGCACATCAAATCTGCGGAGAAGGGTTTGACTCTTTCAGCGAAAATGATCTTATTGAAATGATTGAGGACGAAACCGTAAATGATAGTGACATTATCAATAACTTAACAGATCATGAAGACGGACAAGAAGAACCGGAATCTATTACAGCGGATAAAATATATGCAGGAATAAAGCTTTGCAACAAATTGGAAAAGCATTTTCTTAAAATAGATAACAATTCTCAAAGAAGTTTGAAATACCAAAAAGAGCTTCGATTGTGTATATCTGGCTGTCGCGACGTTTACA